CATCTCTATTTATCTATCATCTACCTACCTACCTCTATTTATATCTATCATCTCTCCTATCTATCTATCTATCTATCTATCTATCTATCTATCTATCTATCTACCTACTTACCTATCATCTTGCTGTTTTCCCAGTTTTATTTGCAGGCAAGGTGCTTTATTTCATCCCACCAAAAAACCCCAGATCTCTCAAGGATCTTTGATCCACCTTCGCGGTTTCTTTTTTTTTGGGATGGGTGCAAGAGCGCCTCGTTCAAAAAAATGTGAACAATGGGAGGATGTGAGCCAGGGAAAACAATTTCGAAGCACCAAGGGTCAGCGGAAGGGAGGGTCTCGCTTTCCCGATTTATGACCCGCCATGAATGTGAGACCGGAGCCAAAATATGCTCTGGGCAACAGATGTCTGCTCCAAGCTGAGAGGAATTTCAGAGCGAGATTCCAGAACGAATCACGCTTGGCTCGCCAGAGTGAGAAAAAAAATAATTGTATACTACAGTGGTTAGTAATCTAGAACCTGGAGGGGAAGTTTGTTTCGTGAGCGTTTGAAGTTACCATGTCGCTAACCCCACAATGGCGGTGACCCCCCCTTAATAATTGTGTCAAGGAAGGTGGTGAAATTTCTATGCCTTTTGTCACGATTTGCCACAAATAGAAGTGGGGGGGGGGGAGAAATTTGAAAGAGCAGAGCAGCAGTTTGGAAATGAAAGTGCATTCCAGGCTTATCTTGCCAAGATTGTAACAAAGCTACCGGAATTTCTGCCCCGCAAATCTCCTAATTGGAGAACGTGATTGATGACTCTTGGCTATGAATGTGTTTCGTTGGAGAATATGAATTAGGATGCACCCAAAGGGGTGGGGAGGAAACCAGGATCAAGGGTAACAGTGAATTACGTGCCTCAGAATCCGCTTCATACGGATCATGCCGACATGTTTTGTGAAATCCTTTGAAGTTTTTGAAGCTTGGCTCGAGGATCATGATTTAATTAGGGCAACTGCTGAAATCCTGAAAAACGGTAGTCCTCGGCATACGAGCAGGGACTTTTTTACTCGTTTTTCCCTTCCCCAAATTGATTCGAGGGTTCTATTTTTTTAAAAAATTTTCCTCCAGCTCTGACCTTCCGTGAGCAACAGTGTGCCGTATACAACCACCGAATGGACATGTTCAAAGATTATCCATCGCCCATGGACTGGGTGCCACGTTACAGCGGCGTGGCCAAGCGTGACCAGTGCAAGCTGACTTGCCAATCCCATGCCTTGGGCTACTATTACGTGCTGGAGCCAAGGGTAAGTTCGAAGCTAGCAAACCGGGAATTTCAACCCCCCATTTGGTGGGGTACCTTCCTCCAGATGCGCTCCGGCGGTCGCCAATTTCACATTCCGTGGCCACAATCACCTGGAAAGTCGCAGATCGCGGGAACGGGACTAAAACGGGATTTTTCCTTGGTTCTAGGTGGCCGATGGGACGCCCTGCACTCCGGATTCTACCTCGGTCTGTGTCCAGGGACGCTGTGTCCACGCTGGCTGCGACCGCGTCATCGGGTCCAAGAAGAAGTTTGACAAATGCATGGTGTGCGGTGGAGACAATTCGAGATGCACAAAAATCTACCGCTCCTTCACCAAGCCTCAGTAAGTGGCCTTTGGGCTTAAGATGTTGAAAAGGGGGTTTAAAAAGAGATCAGAGAACCGTTGGACTGAAATGGTGTAGGGTTTACTGCTTAAGCAGGGAGTTGGTCTAGAAGCTCTCTAAGGTCTCTTCCAACGATGTTATTCTGCTATTTTTTCCTTTCTTCTTTCCTTCTTTCCCTCCCTCCCTCCCTCCCTCTCAAGTTTTTAAGAAAAGATTGGACAGCCATTTGCCCGAAATGATGTAGGATTTCTGGCTTGAGCAAGGGGTTGGACTAGAAGACCTCTGAAGTCCTTTCCAACTCTATTATTCTGATATTCTTTTTCCCTTCCCTTCCCTTCCCTTCCCTTCCCTTCCCTTCCCTTCCCTTCCCTGGAGGTTTGCATCATTCCACTCTTACCATTTTTTATTTTTTAGCAACATAGCGTGCCGAAAACACCAGTTCAGAATCAGAATAGAGCTGGAAGGAACCTTGGAGATCATCTAGTCCAGCCCCCTGCTTAAGCAGGAGAACCTATACTATCTCAGACAAGCATCTCTCCGGTTTCTTCTTTAAAACCTCCAGTGATGAAGCACCCACAACTTCTGGGGGCAAGTCGTTCCACTGGTTAATCGTTCCCACCCGTAGGAAATTCTTCCTTCCTTCCGGGTTGCTCCTCTCCTTTCTTAGTCTCCATCCATTGTTTCTTATCCTGCAATTCGATGCTTTGGAGAATAATTTGACCTTCCTCTTCTTCTTCTTCTTCTTCTTCTTCTTCTTCTTCTTCTTCTTCTTCTTCTTCTTCTTCTTCTTCTTCTTCTTCTTCTTCTTCTTCTTCTTCTTCTTCTTCTTCTTCTTCTTCTTCTTCTTCTTCTTCTTCTTCTTCTTCTTC